TGAAGCAGTCATTCATGCAAAAGGATTCCCGACCAAGTATTGAGTGCATAACTGAACATGATTATTTAAAGGTTGGCGTTTTTTTTTATTAAAAACACTTGTCTTTCATTGGTGGGGTGGGGGTAGGTTAATTTCTTGTTTAGAGAACCTTTTCATGATATGCAAATTTTTTGGGACAGGCATTTTGGGTTTTCATGAGCTGTATGCCATAATCATCAGTATTAAAACAATTAAAGACCTGAAATATTTCAGTTGGTGTGCAATGAATCTGAAATATATGAAAGTTTCATTTTTATCATTACATTATGGAAAATAATTACCTTTATCACAATATGCTAATTTTTTGAGAAGGACCTGTAGCTTTTAATTCAATATTTAAAATGCTATTCTAAACAACAGTGTTGGAAGATGTCAGAGATTTTACATTAATAGATAAAATAAACATCTTAATGTTACAGCACTGACAGGCAGCAGCAGTGTATCGTTGAGCTACCTGTTGCTGATAGCTAGCTTACTTTCCAATTGGAGGCTGTTTCCTTACACAGTTACAGAATGGTAAATTGATAATGATGGCTAACGTTACCGCAGCTAACTAACACGTAAATATGTTTTTTATTAAAACTAATATACAAAGTACACCTTTAAACGATAGTTATTGTGCTGCACTTTTCTTAGACCTGTCTAAAGATTTTGACACTGTGGATCATGACATCTTGTGTCATAAGCTCTCAGAAATTGGTTTCTCAGATCACAACATTGGATGGCTCTCTATCTCTCAGATCGGAGGCAATGTGTTCAACATAATGGTTCTTCCTCCAGTTATTTAACAGTCAACAACAGTGTACCTCAAGGCTCAGTCTTAGGACCCACCCTCTTTACAATATACATAGGTTATGTAGGTAAAAATATCCCTGATGCATCCATACATTTCTATGCTGATGACACAGTTGTTTATTGTCGAGTTAAAACAGTTGATAAGGCTTTCTAGCTTTTGCAATATGCATTTAACATCATCCAGGCTGATTTGTTCCACCTTAAACTTGTCATAAATGCTGAAAAAACCAAAGGGACGCTTTTTTCAAACAGGAAGTCGGTCCCAGCAGTTCTTCCTCTGATTTTTTTTATTTTTTATTTACCCTTTAGTTATACAGGTAGTCTCATTGAGCCATGAGAACTCATTTTCAAGATAATAATAATAATAATAATGCATTTTATTTGTCAACGCCTTTCAAAACACCCAAGGACACTTCGCAGCATTAAAAACACAGTATTAAACAATATAAAATAACTATTAAAAACACTAAACCAAAAAGAAAATAACATTTAAAAATAACAGTTAAAGTGAAATGGCTAGCTTGAACAGATGAGTTTTGATTTGAAGGTCAGAGGGAAGTCAATGTTATGGATGTCCGGGGGACGAGCATTCCAGAGCTGGGGAGCAGAGTGAGAAAAGGCTCTGTGTCCCATGGTGCTGAGGCGGACAAGAGGCACGTTAAGGTGGATGGAAGTGGAAGAACGAAGGGAGCGTGAATGGGTGGTAATGTGCAGGAGATCTAACAGGTAAGGAGGGGCTAGGTTGTGGATGGCCTTGAAAGTGAACAACAAGATTTTAAATTGAATTCTGAATGTGACTGGAAGCTAGTGAAGTTGCTTTAAAACTGGGGTGATGTGGTGAAATGAGGGGGTTTTGTTGACGATGCGGGCAGCTGAATTTTGAACCAATTGACGCTTACGGATTAATTTGTGAGGCAGACCAAAGAGGAGAGAGTTACAGTAATCGATTCGAGAAATGACCAGACTGTGGACCAGGATGGAAGCAGAGTGTGGAGAGAGGGATGGACGGAGACGGTTGATATTTCGAAGGTGGAAATATGCAGACCGGGTAATACTATTGATGTGAGAGTGGAAAGAGAGAGTGCTGTCAAGAATGACACCCAGACTCTTGACGTGAGGGGAGGGAGAAACTAAGGAGTTGTCGATGGTGAGTGAGAAACTGTTAACTTTAGATAAGGTGGATTTAGTGCCAATGAGTAGAAACTCTGTTTTATCACTGTTTAATTTCAGGAAGTTAGACGTGAACCAGGATTTAATTTCAGCTAAGCAGGAAGTAATAATAATAATAATGAATTTAATTTGTAACGCACTTTTCATTAACAAAAATCTCAAAGTGCTACAGAGTGCAACTAAAATCAATGATAAAATCAACTAAAATCAGTGATAAAATCAACTAAAATCTGTGATAAAATCAACTAAAATCAATGATACAATCAACTAAAATCAATGATACAATCATGTGGAGGCAGAATAGGCTTGCTTAAAAAGAAAAGTCTTTAAGCCTTTTTTAAAGTCAGTCAATGATTGTGGAGCTCTCAGATATTCAGGGAGGGAGTTCCAGAGGCGGGGGGCAGCCACACAGAATGCCCGATCTCCCATGGTTCTTAATTTAGTTCGTGGAAGGTGGAAAAGATTACTGTTCTGTGATCGTAGGGACCGGGTGGATGAATATGGAGCAAGAAGGTCCTTCAGATAATCTGGTGAATTTCCGTATAAACACTGATGGGTGATGAGAGCAATTTTGTACTGAATTCTGTAAGTGACAGGAAGCCAATGGAGGTTATGGAGAATGGGTGTATTATGTTGAAATTTACGAGCTCTCAATAAAATCCTGGCTGCACTGTTTTGAATATATTGAAGCTTCTGAAGGTTTTTGCCGGGTATTCCAGTAAACAGGGAGTTGCAGTAGTCGAGCCTGGAGGAGACAAAAGGAAGTGAGGGAGGAGGGAGGAAGTGAAGAGTTAGGTGCAGTGGATAAAAAGAGCTGGGT